TCTTCAAAGAAACGAGTTGTGAAGTTTCACTTCAAGCCCGCAAGTTTTGTTATGCTGCATTTAAACTCACCTTGATCTCCAAAATGAAGTGACTAAAATGTGCACCTCTGATATTAAACAAAGCACAACTGTTGCACACTGTGGGTGTACACAGGCTTGCAGAGGCCTTGCTTTGAGACCCTAAGGCGACTGTAAACAGCCCCGGTTGTGTAAGTGGAAACAGGGAGGGCTCTGTTTGAAGGCTCGTTCCCTGTGGGGAGTCCTCCGGAGACGAACAGGCTTGTGCTGCCTTGTGATGCCAGAGGTTTCTCCAGGCATCGTACAGCTGCGGCAGCGCAAGGTTATAACATTTGAAATGGGGTTACCTCACAATAATAAAAAGGTTATCGAATTCTTTTAAAGTACAGTGAGAGTTGACGGTATTACATATTCATAAATTACTTAGTTGGAAAGTCCTTGCAGTCTGACTCTGAACACCATCTGCATGAGTTTTTGCAAAGTGCTCTCTCCTTATTGCATATGCATTCATGACACAATTAGGCAAACAGTAGGTGGGGACGCAGTAAATGCATGTTAAAGGAGGGTAATTATGTATTCCCATGACTTACTAAAACGCACACAATCTGCAGGTCCATTATCTGAATAGCAGTACAAATAGTGCTGGTCTATTAAAAAGGAAGTTGTGGTGGGGAGAGGAAAAGTGAATTCACCTTTGTTCTATAGAGATTTAAAGAGCATCAGACAAACAGTGAGTGCACAGGAAAATATCCAGAGATATCTGCAGTGTATACATGGAGAGAAGTTAAAACACGGGTTAGTCCAGTAAAGAAGATGGGAAGTTCTTCTCTGCTCCTTCCTAACCTGTGATAATGTGAATGATAATGTGGGTGTATTCTTACATTACAATCTCACTGAGTGCTGCTGTAAATCACAGCTGAAACGACTCCCTGCCAAGCTCAGTCAGACAGGCGCAACATGGGCAGGGCAGAGGAGGGTAAGTCTAAAATGGATGGATTGAGTTTAACCCCTAGAGACTGGGGCAGCATGTCCGCATGGCACAGGGCCTCTCAGCAGCGGGACAGCAGAGGTGGAAAATAAGACGCAGAGATTACATGAGAATTTAAGACACAGAGCAGTGACACCGACAGAGCGACTCAGTCATTTCTCAGCTTTCGTAACACAGAATCTTATATAAGACTAATATGCACCAACACGGAGAGAGAGCAACATGACTGTGTGCCATAATCCCTGCTGTCTGCCTGGTGGCACATCAGTCACAGCAGGCTGTCTATGGTGAGGCCAAGCTCAACAAACACAGATACATGTAATATATTAGAGATGTCTCAAAATGGATATTTTGAGACTTGATATAATGACCTTAAATAATAAAATGAATTAATTATCTGGACCTCAACTAACCTGTTGAAATGTAAACTGGCTTTGCAACCTTAAAAAGTGCTTATTCTTAAAATCTAAAACTGTAAAATGTCAATGATTGTTTCCAGGCATATTTTAGGATGACAACTGTAAACTTGTTGTCGTGACATCACAGTGAGCCCGCCTCTTTAATCATCCGATTGGACAATGTGGGAAAAAAAAAGAAGAAAAAGAGATGATGTGGGGTGCTTTTCCACTCTGTTGAAGTCTTTGAAGCTCAAGGGGTTCAGAGCACTCCGGCAAACACGCCAGGTGTGTCACAATTCAAAAACCACTAGCAAAAAGCTTCATTCTCATTAAAAACAATCACTAAAAGTCTCCAGTTGCTAAAACGCCTTCTGTGAGATTTGGGTCTTCTGCAGTACACAGCGCAACTGTCATTGCTAGTTTCAGACCTACTCAGATGTTATACTCACAACCAGCACCAACTCTGTCTAAGTACTGAACTGTGTGTCCATGGGCGTGTAGGTCTTGAAATGAGGCGTGGTCAGGCACATTGTTGGACGATTGCAGCAGAAATGATTGTGCCATTGACCAACAAAAACCTGATCTAAACTTAATGGCACAGTATTTTCCTGCTATTTCAAAGGCGCACTATTCAGACAGTAAAATGCACCGACGTGCGACTTCACAATGCGCGTTACACACACAGGGAAGTGTGGATATGTTGCAAGTGGGTGAAATAAAGCACCATAAATAATGAAAATATTTATTATGTTTCATAAATGTGAACAAAGCAGAAAGTAGAGTGGCGCTGCAGAGTCACTGTCCGAGGAGCAGCAAACTAGCTCAGCCACATGGCCGAATGCAACTATGACGCTGACTGTATCAAACTGGGGACCTCAAACTAATGACTAAGGAGAAATCTGGACCAGTTTGACCATTTGGGAACCACTGCTTTAGACCATGTGCTCTTGATCATTTAAATAGAGCCCTAAAAGTTTAGAAAGAGGTGGTATTCCCATTGCTGTCACTTCCCAAGTCTTTGTTTATAAATAAAGTTGCACATAGGAAACACTCCAAGGGTGTGTTCACCTTTAATGTCTTCAAACCTCATGTTGTGAGACCGATGCTACCAATCATCTCAACCAGAGCCTTAATTCCTACAACACACCATGGGATCACAACTCATGTGACGATTCCAAAATTATGCTGTGGGACCGCCATAATGGTGTAATGATGCTAAACATAGCATCCTTAAATTTAGGTAAGTAGCAGTTATTATGAGTGTCCTAACATACGGCTCTTAACCTGCACATGTACACAAACACAAAACAAGGCGTGTACTGTAGTATTCTGCCATCAGCTTGCCTCTGTGCCCCCAAAATGCCTCTGTACAACAACAACTGCCACAATGACCAGCTTAGATAGCAGACATGAATCATCCCTTCTGTTTGGGAGCTTTGTGGATCAAGCAGTGTGCGGGCTGCTGGGCGGGGGGTGGCATACAGAAACCTCACAACAACACATATTTATTACAATCCCTCAATACAGAGCAGTGATGTCTGGAAACACTGTCATCACATGTTATTTCACTCTGAGCTTCATTAAAGAGTGTAATTTGAATACAGTAGCTCTACACTGTGTACTCTGTCATTTTCAAGTGCATCTGGCTGCTGCAACACATACTGGCATATGTATTAACTTGAAAAGCATTTAGAAGGTTTTTAAAATTGACCCTGATTTCCACTGTGTTAACAAACATTACTGAATCCAGCATTATAAAACATTAGCTACATTATTGTTGTTTCCTGTTATTAGTCCGTGTATTTGGGCCCTGACACACCAAACTGATGGTCCGCCATTGGTGAGCATGTTTCCCTTGTTTTGTGTCCAGCGCTGGTGGCACTAATCAGCCCTTGGTGGCCCTTGTTGGTGGTTTTTGGCTAATTCAGGAGACAGCAGAGCGCATCAAGGAGAGAAATCACTCTGATTGGCAGTTCAGCTCAGTGCATACGAAGAGAAAAGGAAGTGAGGAAAGTAAACAAAAGGCTAAAGCCAAGAAGGCATGAGATTAAAAAAAAAAAACTTGTTATATTAGGAAAGAGGATTTTTTTTTAGCACACTGCAAATATCCTTTGATCTTCCAACACTGGGTTTTGTTGTTCATGTGCTAAGTGGCTAACTAGCCTCTTCAATCCATCCTATCTGTCTTCTGGGGCCGTATTCACAAAGCTTCCTTGTACAGAGTCGCTCCTAGTGAAGAAATACTAAGATTCTAAGATATTGATGTTTTCTAAGAATTTCCTCTTAAAGTTAAGACTAGATCCTGGGAAAGACAAAAGTTACTCACAAAGCAACTTAGCCTTTCAAAGAGCTCCTAAGGTGAAAAACTGTTAGGAGTAAGGAGGAGGACTTCTAAGAGGCTTAAGACTTTCTTAAGGAGAGGGGAAAAGGCAGAAAGACAAAGAGGTTGGAGAAATATTCTTCAAACAATGAATGACAGTAAGTAAATGAAATGCTACAGATAAGATCATGCAGAAATAGTGTTTGTGGTCAATCTCATGAGGGATGCACACACACATTTCCCACCCAATGCAATAATGCTATAACGCCAGAAACACAATGATCACAACACTAAGATATTTTGAAACTGGAAACACTCAACGGTCTAACAGTGGTGACTTGTGTCTGTCTCAAACTTTCATCAGCAGAGTGATCACACTAACAATGACAACACTTTGAAAGTCTCATATTGTGATGCAGTTCGGTTCAATTCCAGCAGGCTCACAAAAGGGCGGGTCTCTGGGAACCAATCGCATCTGTTAAAGGAATGTGTCATACCTAGCAACAAGGTCTACCTCACCTCCTCACTAGGATAAAAGTTTCTGTCCCTTCCTTGCTCAAAGTTGCTCTGAGAATTTTCCTAAATAACTCCTAAGCTACAACTCCTTACTAAAAATTGTTTAGGCTAAGATAGGAGCTCTCTGAGAGTATTCTCCAAATGAGGAATACAGACTACAGCCACCTGCTGGTATGGAGAGTTTTCCTCTCACGCAGGTGCAGAACGTACGTGCTAGTGGGCTGTTGGCTGTAGTCTTTGCGGTGTGTGCAGGTGCAACAGTTTGGCCAAGTTACAGGCGATGTGAGGTGACGAGACAGTCGGTCTTTGTTGCCCTAGTTCTTTGATGTGGGTTTTGTGTGTCTGGGTCTTTAAATGACCTGTAAATCATTTTGGAAGTCATGGCAAGTTCCAGTCCAGTCTTTTTCATCTTAATACTGAAGCTACCCTTTTAATCATATATGGACACAGACTGTGCAAGTAGCTTTGAAGATGTGAAAACAACTTAAACACAATCACATTCTTTTTTATGTTTTCACAGTTAAACATTAACTCAGTGGAGCTGTAAAGTGGGAACATGCTGGAAAATAAGAGATCATATAAACCAGTGCTTCCCAACTGGTCCAGCCACGGGGTCCATATTTCTCTTTAGTCATTTGTTCAAGGTCCACACAGTTCCGTGTATTCAGCGCCATACTTGCATTTGGCCATGTCATCGAGCTGGTTTGTTGTCTCTTATTGTTTGTTATCAGACAAACACCTCTGACCCTTCTGCACTCACCTTCAGTCCATCGCTGGGTAGCCGATAACCAAACCGTGCAGGCAGGTCCTCGAAGGCCTCTGTTTTGTTGTCGAATGAGTACTGAAAGATAGAAAAATTAACTTAAATTATGTTTGATTCAAGATGTTTTATGAAGGCTGACACATCATCAAAACAATCTGAGGACGTAAAGTGTTTCTGCGTATGTGGGGGTGTAACTGTATTACACTATCATATTATTGTTGTATGTTTCTATGTATCGTCCTATGTGCGCTGAGAATTACTCACTGCGGCAATGTCAGCCTCCACGGGCAGCAGGTTGAGGAAGGCAAAGAGCTGAACAGTGAAGATGGTGTAAATCTGCGTGGCCGACAGCATCAGCATTCCCAGGGACAGCAGCATCTTGGCATCACGTTACAACCCCCAGCTGCTGTGCCACTCACTCATTAACATACACGACCATAAACACACACACAAATGACCACGCACACTGGCCTGCAGTGGAGCTGCTGTACACCGTCTGTTGTCGACACACCTGGAAAAGACACCAAAGTTTACGTAAATTTCTTGAATTAAATACATAAATTTAAACTTTAAATTAATGCAGTGTGATTTTGTTTGGGTGTCTGCCATTGTTAGCCAGTCGCAGCGGCAGTGCACCCTCCTTTCCAATCCTGTGTCTATTTTTTCAATTATCTCACTCCACATGTTCACGCCCTCTGGAGGTGAATGCGAAGTGGAATGTCAGGTTGCTGAACACACGGATCATACATTTCGATACTGATTCAATCTTCTGCAACTGCATCAAAGCAGAGCTGATATTCTGGACGACAGCTTCAGCACATCAACGACACCCCTCCCCTCAATCTTTCTTTCCACTGTTCATATTTGATAAATTATACAGACAGAGTACCTGAGAAGTGCTGTGAAGCTGCCAGGGTGGATATATCCTGGACTCCTGGACTGGAGTATCAGAACATTGCTCTCTCTTGGATGCTGTTTCTTACTTGTCCTACTTTTTCATTTAAATAAAATACCCTGCAAAAGCAATGTGGACTTTTTGGAGACAACAGAAGACCTTGGAAAAGTACTGAGCAGGAGTGTGCAACAACTGTCCAGGGTTCACACACATTTTTACAAATTAACTAATTTACTTTTCCCTAATATTCGACCACATTTCCATGACTTTAAGTAGAAGAAGAAGATATACTTTATTAATCCCAAAGGCGAAATTCAATTTTTTTTACTCTGCTGTAATATACACAAAGGCTGAAAAACACACACGCACAAACAGGATCTATACAGGCATTAAATGGAAAGATGTCAAAGCGTACGGGCTGCCTTGGACAGGTGCCCTGAGCAATTGGGGGTTCTGTGCCTTGCTCAAGGGTGCCTCAGAGGTGCCCAGGATGCCAACTAGCACCTCTCCAGCTGCTAGGCCACAGTCCATACTTAGTCCTGATGGGGAATTGAACCGGCGACCCTCTGGTTCCTAACCTATGGCCCTATGGATTGAGCTTCTGACGCCAAATGATCCGTCCACAAGTGGGTTAAAATGAGTAGGCGTATACAGCAATACAGCCACGCATTATTATACATACACTTCCCAGGCACTGCTGATAGGCAAACTACTAGCGTTTGCTAACTTTACTTGCTATATATAGCAATAGACCAGAACAGCAAATTCAGGTACTTCATGAAACATCAATACCACGCCCCTTTTTGGGAGACAGAAAAACAACGATCATGTGGATGTCGATGCAACTTGACGAGTGTTTGGATTGCAATTCTGACAAGTCTGTATGCATTTATGTCTTGTTAAACAAACATTTGTTTTACAGACATGTCCAACAACTGTTTTGCGACCTTGCCTGAACCTGAGCGTTCATGCAACCTTGATAAATTAAGGTTAATTGCCATCATGTCCCTTCAGTCTGCCCCCATCTGAATGGATCAGTGATCCAACACAGTGGCTGGATGTTGCTTATCTATACATGTACACACGTCCAGATCACAATACCTGGTGTTTCAATCAAATATATATAATTGACTAAATCACCAGGCATCATCAGGCTGAGTGTTGTCTGTAAATAACCAACCTGTTAATAGCCTGCTGTTTGATTTATAAGCTGTGGTTTAGTTGGAGACGACTGTCTGATGCTGTTATACCGTATGACTGTACTGCAGTAGCCTCCCACTCAAGCTAATGTTACCTATCCATCAGTAGCAACTGTCACCAGCATCATTCAGTGATTTGCCACACTGACAGTGAATATTCACAAATCTTTTGTGCCTCAAATCTCAATGTGACAGTCTTGGTTAACCTGTTACACAACAGCTTTTCCGCATTATCTCATGATGTGACAGCACTTTTCTTTTCCCCAAAACAGGGTGTGGCCTTGGTGATAACACAATGCCGATGTGATCATGATTTAAACACTTTTTTTTACAAACATATTTTAAACAATAGCCAAAGCAATGTGTATCAAACCTTTTTTCAAGACATTCTAGTAATTCCAAACATTCCCAGGCCTTGAAAACAGCTTTTCTATTTTCATAACTTCTCCAGGAATTTAATGACTGTGGGAACTCTGATTGTCCTTTGAGTACATCTCCATTAAGCTAGTGTGACTTAGTGTCAGGACTGTCTTGCTGCCAGCTCCTGAAGGGCTTCCTGTTCTTGTCTGCTGTGTTTCTTAACTGGCCAGGTGCCTCATAAAAACTGAGTCAAGCTTGAGGCCTAACATCACAGCATCACAGCAAGTTCACAAAAAGGAAGGCAGCATGTGATCAGGTCACGAGAAAACAACAGCCAGGCTTTAAACCATTAAGCTGTGTTATCACGCTGCAAAGTGGGGAAGGTGAGCTACAGGATTACATAGTTTGTTGTGTATATGTTGAAGAAAACAAGGAATTTTTTCTCATTATACCAATGCCCCATGAGTGTGCAATGCCAGCGTATATATTTTACTGTAGCAGGAAATGCTTCAAACAGATGGGGACATAGAAAAAAAACTTTAGCAGCACCTGTCCTCATTTAATACTAATCTCTACACTGCGTCTAAGCAGCTGGAATCACGTAATTGCTTCAACTCAAATATGGAAAACATGTCAAGATTCATTTTTGCAAAACATTTTCAGACAAATGTTTTCTTTTTCCCTTGAAATGCAGCCCATAACTCACTCTGTTGCCTCAAAAATATTCAAGTATCTTTTAGAAATACACAGTTCAAAATGAACTCTACACATTCAAATACTACGCCATATTAAAAAATACAGTTTTATTGCTAACATTAATATTTATGCATGCATTTACATACTAGTAATTAACTGATATATCATTGAACCCCAGCTAAGGAGTTGCAGATCTATTAATGAAACCACACCTGCTTTATCCGTCCAATCTGCAAAGTTCACTTAAAAAGTACTGAGGTTCAATTTGTGTATCTGTGTAAAATGGGAATGAGGCTTTGTTATGTAACTTTCCATCCCTCCTGTCCTACTAATGCTGCTGCTGCCATTTCCCACGAAACAAGGTCTTACACACGGAGTAATTCCAGTAAACTGTGTCGCTCAGTGAGGGCAGAACCTGATTTCCACAATTAAGATGAAAAGAAAAAAAAAAGCAGCCGGCCATCTAATTATAATCACAATTACAAGGTTTGCAGAGAAGCTGTTGGGGAAATATTTTCTTTTGAGTGCAGTAAAGTCCAACTATAACTGGGGCTGCATGATATGCAAAAAAAAATCATATTGCTTTCTTTTTTTTTTTTGACAGACACTGACTGCCGTATCAGTCACTATTCTAATAGGAATGGCATTGGTTGCATTTCATTTTCACTGACAAAAAAAAGATGGTGATGGGATGTTTGCTGGGGCACATACCTCATAAGCATGTCCCAATACATACTGGAATACAAACTGTAGGCCAGGGCATCTCAGCAGCACCACAGTGCTTCATTTATAATGGTATGTTGTGACACACTTTGCCTTTATAAAATAGTTAGCCATATTGAGATTACAGTGATAGTTTGATTAACTGTGCAGCTGTAATTTTAACCAATTTCTTAAAGCACATCTCCAATTATTAACCTACACAAAGAAGACAACATGGACAACATTAAAAATGACAACATCATCCCAAAATGCATACATTAGCAGTGTTTAAAAATACACAAGGTTAAAAATTGTAACTCTTGATCATTTGAGGATAATAGAGAGTACATTGAGGAACTATGTCCACTAAAATAATATAATTGAAATGTGTGTTTTTGGCAGAATTAAATACCTGATACATTAATGCAATCCTGCCACAGGCCTAATGATTTGCAATATTACAAAGAGAGCTGTACATTGCACATATTTGCTATACTGTGAACTTCTGCACAATCCCTGATTAATATTTTTGCACATCCTGCACAAAACGGTACTCTCAAACATTATACTGCACATACTTGTTATTTTATAGTATTTTTAAAGTATATTTTTCATATTTTTAAAGTAATATTTTTATTCTGCATTTATAACAGTTGCAGTACTTTGCCTTTTTTACATTTCCTTTTGATATGTTTATTTTATGTTTAATGTATGCATCAAAGACCAAAGTAAATTTCTTGTGAGTGAATCCTACATTGTAATAAATGTTGTTCTGATGTTGTATTGTAAAACTTTCATCTTAAAATCTCTGACAGTTCTCTTTTGTCACATCGCCCAACCCTGATGTTTATTTGCACTGCATGTCAGTGTCATACAACATGTCATAAACCTGTTTTCAAAAGGCAGTTGGGTGTTACCGACGTGCATTCTCTGTGAAAACAACACCTCACATCTTTGGCTCAATTTCCAATTATACAAATTAATTTTAGATTAAACGTGCAAACTATGACATGAGACCTGACACCAAATCTGTCTGAGGCAGAGGGGTCCCCTTGACAACAAAGAATCAAAGGGGAAGTGAAAGCAGCACCCATCATGACAACAGGATGACTAAACATCAAATGACAGGAACCACAAAAAACACTATGAGCTAATGGTGAGATGTCTATATTTCATCTCGACGTGATTAGAGGAACACATATTAATGATAAGATATGCTGTCAACATTGTAAACAATAATCAGACTTCGGAAAATTGCGTTAAACTTTCAACCCCCCAAATTTCAGTGACTAAAGGGGGGTTACAGTTTCAACACCGGACTGGTTTTACAAATATAACCATCAGCATTAATGTCAAGCGAATTTAGAAAGCTGTAGCGATTTAGCGTGTAGTTATAGACGTAAATAAATGGGTGGTGTGGTGTGTGGAGCTACGAAGGTGTGCAGCTAGCTGCAAAACAGAGCGTCCTGTACCCGCGTTAGCATGATGCTAACTGAGGTAGCTAGCAGGCTTGTCGTGGGTGTTTACCTTTATAGCTGCCTGGAGGTTTATATCGTCCGGGAATTTAGCAGCTGGCGGTGACAACGCTCTCCTTCACTGTGCATTGTGCCAAGGAACATGTACAGCAGCGCAGATTTTGGCTGGACTTCATCCTGTTTGAACGCTTGCTCAGAGAATATGAACATAAACGTTACCGTTTAATCCCGTCCGCTAGCTTCTTCTTTCATGTGAGAGCGCACACTTCCGCACCGCACATGCACCACTCCTCTCTCCGCGTCTGATTGGACAAACCGCCTGTCAATCATTCCATTCCGGAAGTGACTCCAGACGTAAACATATCCACGTGATGACACACACAACCATTTGCTGCCTTTTACAGTAGCATTATATGAACTGTCTGAGCCGAGCAGGCAGCCGATATTTACAGCTTTGTTACAGTTGCACCGGGGTATTACGAGATTAACTGGCAGCAGAAGGGGATATATAAAGAAACCATATGATTTAAGTGGGAAAATGTAAATGCATCAGCACAAATCTTGTCTCCCTCCCACTGAAGATAGTTGACACTTTTGAGTCTCTAGCACCCTCTATGGTAAATGGGTGGTGTGTTTGTTTGTGTTAATGGTTGAGTGCAAGCTAAGGACCAGAGGCTGACAGCAAAACTTTATTTATTAGAGTACTAGTGTGTTACAGTTGTGGAGTTCTGCATGCAGCTATACATGTGTACATAACAGATACTTTGTAGAATAAAGCTTTACATCCTACAAGTTCTCAAGGTTGCAGATTATGGAGAAGTGTGACCAGATAAGTCATTTAAATTTTGGCGAGTTCAACATGCCAAATTGTGAAAGGAAACACTCATACTAATACATGCTTTTAATTTAATTTTCATTACACATTTCTGCTCATAATTATTTTTACCGTACTGCATCACTTATTTAAGTCAAAATTCTGAGGATATCGTAATCATCTCTCCTAACAAAACATAGAAATAAATACCCATAAAATAACACCATTGATACCAATTGATACCAACAATATAAAAGTATATTTCACAAAAGATAAAAGAGCATAATATAGAGGTGTGTAGAAGGAAAATGTCCACAGGTAAGGAAGAGTACATTACCTCAAACTATCCTGTTACTTGCAATGAACTTCATTAGAAAAACAAGGTTTTGGTCCTCATACTTTCATCAGGTCAAGTAAAAGAACAAAGAAACATTTTCAAAAATATATATTAAACAATATAAGTATAAAATATGGTCTCTCATTGGCCTCACCTCAGTATGCATTATCTATATATTCTTTTACATTTTCTTTGTTCTTCTGCTTATCCTGATGAAGGTCTAATGACTGAAATGTTATTTTTCTAGTAAAGTTTATTGCAAGTAACAGAACAGTGTGAAGGAATTCCCTTCTATTTAAACAAAGGATAAAATAATCATTCAAACCATAGCATGAAAAACTACCAAACACTAGACCTGAAGTTTAAATAATGAAAGATGAGTCTTAAAATTAAAAGCTGAGGGTGGTAAAAAGGAGTGAGTAAAGCAACCTTATGGTGGTATGCCTTTCTTTCATTTCCTTTCATGGATTAAAACAACATTCTTCTACATGTCTGTAATCTAGATTTTGTGTGTGTTCTGATTCATGCATGAAAAAACACAGAAATCATTAAACTTGCAGGTCCTGCACTTGAGAAACAGAGTAACTGTTTGCTTCAAGCCAAGATGGAACACAAAAACATTGTGGACAGCTTCAGACTTTAAAAGGTCAACACAAAATAGCAGTCCCCTGTAAAACTAAAGAACATTACAAGTTACTGTAACGTTCCTCCAACACACAGCGTGTGAAAGAAGTCCTTTTGTTTCCCACTAAAAGGCAGAGTGAGAATTGACGTCAGACTGTGTTGGGGATGTGTCCAAGTGGGGACAGTTTACACTTATTGCACTGTAAGTTATTTTAGATATAAAACGTGTAACAACATGTTTAAAGAGCATATCAAATAAGATGTTGCAGTTTACACCTAAGATTTTTTTCTTGTGTTGACTTGTCAGATGCACTAATGTGCATCCTCTCCTGTATTGCTGTGTACTGTCTTCATCTATACCTGCACTTGAACTTTGTGACTAAGAGCCCACGCATATGTGGTGAAGTCTAATTGCTGCTGTAAAAACAGAGGCAGATCAGGTGTACAGATGACATGAGACTAAATTTATCAGTCAGTCACACAATTGTCACGTGCAGCACAGCATTTTGTTATGTCTACAAATGCTGAGATATATTTTTCCTTCTTTATATACTATATAGGCCTGTGTTATTTTGTTCTATGATTGTTTCTTGTCTATCTCTATAAAGTCATTTGAGACATGTTGTAATAAAGAGCTATATGAATAAACTGCGTGTTAACAAGTGCCCAATTACAAGTCAGATAGAGAGAGATAACCTTGCACACACCTATAATGTAAGGTGGGATGTTTCCACTACAGCCAACAACATTTTTCACCCTTTTATTCTATATTTTATCTGCATTTCTTGCATTTCAACATGTTTTTATTTAACATTACTTGAAAGCTTGTCTTGAGGTTGAGAAAAATGTGGCGCCTATCAAAAAAAAAACTTTCAAAATCCACATGGTAAACTTAAAAGTTTCCATGTCACCAAGTCAAAAAGATGCATCAGAAACATCATTTTCAAAAGCAATTATTAAATGATTTGGATTTAAAAGCATGGTCTTTCGTTGACTAGCTAGATCAAACTTTGCAGACTAGCATGCCTTCCCAAATCCTACCCACCCAGCCCCTGCCCCCCTCCCTACAAAAACTTTGCCTCTGACAAACTGCACCACACACGCTCCTCTGTCCGACCAGAGCCCCACAGAGGAGCCAAACAGCCGGAGGACAGATGTCTCGACCATGAGAGTCTTCATCTGCTTTGCGGGCTCCTGTGAGCCTTTGGACGTTCCTCCAGATCAGACTGTGGGGGCCGTGAAGCAAATGGTGAAGGTAATAAAAAGCTACAGTAGTGGCTCAGGGCCATCACTGTTAATGAACCTTAACTTCTTGACAAGTTTTTACTGCATTTTGAAAATGTGCCTGATGATTTAGATGTCTTACTGGAACAAAGAGAGCCTTAAAGTGAGTTATCAGTTGCAACCCTGGCTCGGATTTATCACATTTTGTTGCCTGTAATGGTGAAATACTATGCTTTGCTAAAGTGAAATCTTATGTGTCAAGAAAAAATCCAAATCCTGGTCTGTACTCTGCCACAGCTCCAAACATCCCCACTCTGTCCCTTTCTGTAGGATAACTTTCTGGTGCAACTCTCAGATGACAAACAGCAGCAGTACCTGGAGCTGAGCTACGGCGGTGCAGTGCTGCAGGACAGCTGGGCTCTGTGCAACGTGGGCATCACAAGTGGCAGTGCCATCCAATGCCTGATAAAGGTATTAAAGCATGAAAAGGGTTTAGAGATTTGGAGCTGTATTGGGATTTGCAGTAAATACAATCAGCTTACAGCGATGCACATTGAGAGAGGATGCTGAGGTGCATCTTTGCTGTAGGCTCACACTTCAGACGCTATTTTTAAAATGCTTTACATAAACAGATGATTACAGTGCAGTTACTTTTGAATGTAACAATGTTCAAAATCTGTCACAATCTATGACAACATTCAAATCAGTTAAAATATTTTATAAAAGTGTTTCAAAACTTTCAAACTTTCTACAGTCTTTCTTCTTTTTTCTGCTCTGATGCTGGACCTATACATTGAGGCACTCGCACTCCCCTCTCACAACATACTATCACTGTCAGTTCACTTCAATATATTCTTCATCTTTTCACTTTAGAGCTGCTAAAATTAGTATCTTCCTGCATACATATTCGTTACTTGGGATTACTTCCCATCAAAGACATCCTTGTTACAGTGAGCGAGTTTCATGTCAGACTGGTTCACTGATACGGAACAGGATGTTCCCATGTGAGCGGCAGCTTGGAGGGAAATGACTTTATGGCTGTCTGAGATCTTTAGTTTTTTGTCCCTATTAGTAACTCTATAGTAATGGGACACATTCCAGGCTCGTCACCAGGCAACCTTGTGTAAAAGCTGTCAGTAGTGAGCCTGTGTGTGTCCTTTTGTCACCTTTTAACATCCTCTCATAAAAATAGTTGTTTTCTATTGGTCTTTTAGTGTCCTGGTCCCATTTCACTCTCCAAACTTTTGTCTTAATCTGGGTCCCTTTGCTTTGACACATCTTTTGCTTCCTTTAATGGGTCATCTTCACTCCTTGAATGTGCACCTATATATATATATACAGTATGTATTCAGTCAAAATCCTTTGCATGCAAGTGGTAAATCTTGTACAGAGCTTTTGCAAGGAGCATTCCAGGCTCCAGGTAGGTAGGTAGGTAGGTGGGTAGGTAGGCGGGTGGGTAGGTGGGTGGGTGGGTAGGTAGGTGGGTAGATAGATAGATAGATAGATAGATAGATAGATAGATAGATAGATAGATAGATAGATAGATAGATACAAAGGTGTCCAGCAAGAATGACATTAAACTTAAAAACACAAACAGACAATAAAGAATCAGGCATTTATATACGTACAATACCTACAGGATTTTCAAATACTATAAGGTGGCTCTTAATTTCATGTGATATACATAACGTCAGCCACAGAGTGGCAGCAAACTCCTCTTTGATCATTGCTTGTGAATTACTTTTGCAATACAGAACATAATTTAAAAAAAATAAAATAAATAAATAGATGAGTGATTACAATTTAATAAGCTGAAAAGTGAAAATGAATGCAAGAAACTTAAAATTTACCTTTTTTTGTTTAGATAGACAGTGACTACATCTTGTGTCTACGGTTACTCTTTTGTCCTATTAACCTAACTGCGAGACCATTCTAATTATTTTTCAGAGTGAACAAAGGCCTGTGATGCTCGTGTTCAATGCTGTGACAGGAGAAACCTTACCAATTATGGGAAGTGAGGCTCTTCTGCATATGTCTGTTGCTAGACTGAAAACTGTGGTGTCCATGCAGAGTGGCCTCCCTGTCAGCGCCTTCAGACTGAGCACACCTGCTGGTGTGCAACTCTACGACTGCAACCAACTGCAAGACTACGCCATTGAAGTGGGTATGGCCCACTAACAGATCTTAATCTTCACATGAACAAAGAAACAAGGAAACAAGCACATAACAATGACACTTTTAGGTTTTTTTGTACTATTCAAAACCATTCACTCA